AACATTTTTTTGAGTGGGAAACCTAACTGAACAGTTCCCAAGAACTTACCCGGCGAATCGCACACCCTAAGTACCGACAATTCAATCAAACATTTTGTACTGAATTCTGTCCTGGACAATCTGAGAATTCATGTGGTGGTAAACCAGATAATATAGGTATACCGACTTTTCCTCGGAGAATGCCACATGCGGCGATGCGAAGATTCGCCTGGCGCAAGCGTTGAGCGAAGGCCAGCTCCATGTGGACATCCTAGCGCTCCGGTCAATGCCCAAACGCCACTGGGCCCCTGAACGTCAGGGTCCGGCTGTTAATCGGTGTAGGTAGAAAGACCTCCGGTCAATTACCATCCCAGAAAGAATCCTTGCTGTGGGGCAAGATGATCATCCAGCGGCTTGCGTTAACCGCCTTGGAGTCTCCAGCCGGTTTTCTCCTTTTGGGGCGTCAAATATCACAAGCTGGTCACACGTTCTCACTGTCCTCTCTACAAAAACTCTACGCATATGTACGTCGAGAAATGTGACTTGCAGAACGGCAACCAGCCCACCAAACACACTCGCAGTCATAGATGTCCTTTTCGGGAAAATAGATGGCCCTGGTCAATGGAATAAAACCAACCTATGCCAGTGGAACCCATCCATTTCCAGTGCCAAAATCACCTGAAAAGGACTCCTATGGTCGCAGTCCGCAAACTGACCCGACCGGTCGAGTTTCCCGCCCGCCACCCAGCTGTCCAGCCTCGCCGAGACCTTGCGCCTGGTTCGCCCAGAGCTCGAGATCCTCGAACTTATTCTCGATCACAGCTTCCAAAATGGACTTGCCTTAGGTCAAACATTGGCCAAGCGAGCGCGCCCAAGACATCTAGGCTAGCTCGCGGACTTGCCTTAGGTCAAAAATTGGTCAAGCAAGCGCTCAGAATAGGACATCTAGGCTAACTCACGTCGCTGGGACCAATCGACAATCTCTGAAGTTCGGACTTTCGGACCCCCCAATTTGTTCATCATGTGTGAGCTCCTTTTACTTCAAGTTATGCTCCAGCCGGGACCTGGCGCTACTCAGATGGATGGGGGGGGTATGTTTAACCGGGGAATAAAGGACTGGAAAATGCCAGGACTATACCAAATCTTTTTATTTTCTGTTTTTATTTTCTCGGAAAATATGTTCAGTAGTGATAAATTCCTTTTAAAACCAACGGGGGGCAAAAAACAATATTCTTAAACAAATGGACGAATCTGGGAAAAAAAACACCCAACCTTGATCATTTCCCTTCACAAAGGGGAATGCAAAGAAGGTCCCCCCTTCGAAGCATTAGGGGCTTCTTCACACGAAAGGAAGCAACCGCCTGGCCACAAAAAAGTCCACAAAGTGGGGCGCGGTTGCGATTTGTTCAATCAACCAAGAGTCTGAGGGTTTTTGCATTACACCCTGGGACACCCTTGGGAAATGATCCAGGACATGCGCCTAAATGGGGTCAATAGCCAGTGGGTCTATTCCCAGGGAGAAATACCACAAAAAAACCCATAGAAAGAGGGGCATGGGAAGATTTGGACATATGTCCCATCTCCTCCCCAAGCATACAATAGATTCTCAAGGGGTCGCTACACATGTCTCCCCTTGCAACATCCCCCCAAAAAAACTCCACTTACATGGGCCAAAGCTGTTACGTTTAACCCCACCAACAGGGCTCCGTACATTTCCCGATGCTTGAATCCACCAATGGAACTAATGGGCCTGTTAACTGCCAAACACATCGCCAGGTTGCGGACCAGGACCGCCTCTTCCAGCACGCTGGCCTCTCACAGCTGCGAGTCAGGGTCTCTCCACAACAACAAAGATACAAATGGGTCTGTCTCAGAATTTGGGGGGGTTTGTTTGCGGATGGTTTCCCAAAAAATGACTCAAGAAACGGATGCCAACCACCCAGAGGGCCCCACTTTTGTTGGGATAGTCAGGCGCTGCTTGGTCAAAGGGTGGCGTGCAGGTTTGGGTGGGTCTTGCGGGACCACCACCCCCAAAGAAGCGGTATGGCTGTGGCTCAAAACCCTGTACCCGGTGGCAAATGGATGTTTATCCACCCCTAAAATGGAGCCATAGGTTATGCCCTGGCCATATATGAGCCACAAACAAGTGATAGATGTATAATATACATATATCGTCTCCACTCAACACGCCCGCCTTTTCTGGTTTGGTCACGCCAGGCCTGGAACACGAGACGCCGCACCAAGCCCGGCGCAGAGTCCAGTTGCAGTGTCGCCTCCAGTAATCGAAGCACGTCGTGCGCCTCGGCTTCCGCCATCTTCTTGGTGGTTTGTGCATTTTCGGTGCTCAATTTGCTGAGCTGTCCTCAGATCCCCCGCTAAAAGTTTAACTTTTAGTGGGCTAAATGGAAAACCACACTAATTAATCACTAAAAAGCTAAACAACTGAGGGGATGGCTGGGGGCCACCAAGTTTGGTGACATTGTTCTCATGGGAAATCTTTTATAGAGCACGTAGCCCTTGAAGCTGAACATGGAGCATCAGCCCAGGGACGTTCCGTGGAAGCCTTCTACATCATTGCCTTTCAGACTTTGTTTTAACAAGAACTACCAATATGACTACATCTCACTTCCTGACTGAGTGGATGGCCCAAAAAAGGGTCAAATTTGTCGTATGCCACTGACGTGGTCTTACCAAAAAAGTCGCAAGTCCATGAACTCAGGAAGTGAGACTAGGTCCTCCAGGTAAAGAGGTTAGAATAAGGGTACCATTTTTCCCGTCTTTTTTCTGTAGTCTATTTTTTGTAGGGGAATCCTCCCCAAAAAAGGGTCAATGGCGCTACTGGGGGACCTAGGAGATGTTCGCGAAAATGCCGAGACAACTGCAGACTTGGAGGTGCGCGCCCGTTCAGGATTCGGGACTGGGAACCCGTACCTTTTTTGGCAGAACGCCAGTTTCCGTGGTGGAAAGTTCCCCCAGCGTGTAATGGGAAGCCTGGGACTCCGGGCTGATCGAAGATTTACTTGTTTGGAGGATTCACTTGCTGGAGGTCATCAATCATGGCCAGTCAAAACCTCTACCCTCACAGCGTGCGTTGTTTCCTTTTTTGGTTGAGACCCTTGACCAGAAGCTGCAAGTGATTTTCAGGGACACTCACATGCAAGAAACCGAAACTGTCCACAAACCCACGGCAAGGTAACAGGTCCGGCCTTGATGGCATCAAAGAGGCTTGGGAGGAAATCCATCTGAGCGACCTGCACGCAGTCAGGGCTTTCCAATGCCACCCTCACATCTCAAGAATGCGAGGCCGAAGGTCTTGCAAAGAAAAGGCCAAAGAACGCCAGCCCAAGTCTCAGACTCGCGTTTTTTGGCTAAAATAGCGCAGCAGCTTGATCGACTGCAAAGCCAAATCCCTCTCATCCTATTGCACAATAATTCAAGATCCAGTGAAGCCGAGTGACAGCAAGCTTTCTGACCAGCTTCTTGCAGCCTACCTGGTCACCTTCAGCTGTCTTTTCATCCGCATGCTGAGGCATCCGCGTGTTCCACACTCAAGTACCAAAAGCTGCGCACCCATGCGCCAACCCAACCTAGATCCTCCAGTAGAAAGGGTTAGAATCAGGCGACCCATTTTTCCGTAGTCCATTTTAGTGGGGAAAAAAACCCTCCCCACCAACAAAGGAACGGTAGAGAAGGGCGCCGGTCGCTGGGGGACCTAACCAGACTCCCGGTTGGTGGCCCCGGTGGTTTCAGGGGGCCTGCTGCACCACCTCATCCCAGACGCTCTCCAGGTGCCCCTCGGCGACGGTCAGCTTCTCCCTGCAGTGCGCTTGGACCACCTGGCCGAAACCAGGCGGCCAGGGGCCGAATCCGGGAGGCCCAAGAAGAAGGGAGGCCTAAGCACTTGGCGGACATTGGGTTAGGGGAGCAAAAAAATATATCTTAGCAATTCAGTGGATTTGGATTTCAACCACTAAACCACAATAAGCAAAAATGCAAAAGGTGTCCCAACGACAACCATGAGAAGGATACGACAAAATCAAGAACGTAAGATTGAACATCGCAGGGTTCCAAGACGCGAATCAAACAAATCAGCTTGATTTAGAGGAAGGAAGAGAAATACCCCCAGTGCAACCAGAAAGCATTTGCAAGTTGATCAGGCAGTGGTGCTTTTCATTCATGCTTTCTGAATTAGGCCATCACGACCAAACACGACTTGCAACAAAGGAATTTGGGTGCTCCATGCGGGGACTGGCTCGCAGCTTTGGTACGCTTCGAGTCACACATCGCAACTTCAATGCGGATCCACGTGACAAAAGGTGAACACCGATTGCCAACAAGGGCCTTGCCTTGGTTGGAAGGGGAGCAAAAAATCAAATGTTAGCAGTTAAGTGGATTTGGATTTCAACCACTAAACCACAGTAAGCAAAAATGTAAAAGGTTTCCCCCCCCAAAAAAAAACATGTTGCCGTGAGTGCCATCAGTGAGAGGGGATGCAACAACTTGGGCCAACGATGCGGCCAAGTGGCGAAGGTTGTATAAGACAACACCACGTTGTGTTGTATAAAAAACACCCTACCCGTGCCTGCGCTGCTTCAGAGTCATCGAGCGCTGCAAAGGGCGATGCTGCCCTCATGGCAGGTCATCGCATTAGGACCTTCGAAAAGACGACCCAAAGAAGCAAATGTCTTGGTGAGTGCGAGGTTTGCCCACTCACTTGCATCGTCGTTGAGCGCCCCTCACTTAAACTTGACTGCCCAAGCCTCAATAAACCACCCTATAGCCTGCCACGCCCCGGCTAGTCGCGGGTGCGGCGTGGCAGGCTTGGACCACACACGGCGATGGCTCCTTACAGTGCCACCAAGCGAACGCAAGCATCAATGTCTCTTGCCCGACAGCTACTCTTAGCCGCAAATTGCAACTAGTTGACCACCCTCCCTCCATGAATTGCAATCACCTCTCCGCCGGCCAAATCCAAAACCGACAAAAAACTCAGGGAACTCTGAAAAGAAAAGCTCCGAGGCCTCCTGGATGTCATCCACGAAAGCGACATCCTCAGATCGGGAAAATGCGCCTGAAGCTTCTGAGTTTCTGCCCCTCGCCTTCCTCACTTCCTAAGTGGACTGGCCAAACAAAGTCACCAAACTTTTTGTTTGAACTCTTTGCCACTAAAATGGTCCAAACCAAAATGAGCTCAGGGAACATGCCCCAAACTCTTCCAACTTGGGGGCCTGAACCAACCCACAAGAAAGCCGATTGACCCCCAGCCGCACCCGAGGCCCGGTCTCCATGGACGGAAATGTCCATGGATTCACGCCCTGCCCGGGCCTGAGTGCATTGAACATGATGCGCACATCGCCTCAGCCTGGGTTCTTGGAATCGCTTCCAAGCCAACCATTTGCTCCGGAGGCCTCACTGAAGTTGGACCCAAACCAAAAACTCAAAGCTGGGCTGTTTTGGGTACCTCCAAACTTTGCTCTCGGAAATGCGGGACAAATTGAACTGCGCAGAATTGCTGGCAAAGAGCTCAGTAAGGCGCCATAAAGAAACGACAACCTAAGCCACGATTCATTTACAACGGGACATATAGTCGTCAGCACATGCATGGACCCCGGTGATGTTAGGGTCCATGCACTCGACCACTTTGGAACCAGTCAAAGTCTCTCTGTGTCGAAACCCAAAACTGAGATGTAAAAAGTCATCGATCATCGAGCCGCACTTTTCTCAAGGTTTTATCTCAATCTACAGCAACAAGGCCGCTTTTTCTGTGCCTGCCATTTTGAGACACACGCTTCTGCCTAAGCCCCCCTTTTGTCACCTCCCCTCGCCCACTTGGGGCCAACCTCCGCTACGAACTGCTCGAGGATCATCTCCTGCGCTAAGTGAAAGGACGTGTGCAAAAGCACAAGGCTATCGGATGGCTATGTTTGGTTTGCTGTGTTGCTTGTTAGTTAGCTTGTTTGTGTGTGTGTGTGTGTGTTGTGTGTTTGCATGTTTGGGTGCTTTTGTCTGTGTGTGTGGGCTTGCGTGTTTGGACAGTTTAGTTGTTTGCTTGATTGTATGCTAGCTTGTTAGGTTCTGCGTGTTTGTGTGGTTGCATGTGGTGGTTTTGGGTGTTTGTTTTCACGTTGCACGTTTGTTTGCGAGTTTGTTTGTGGCTGTTTGGTGGTACGTACTGCATGTATGTATGTTTGGTTGTTTGGTTGGGTAGTTTGTGGGTTGGTTTGTGTGATTGCTGGGTTGGTTGGTTGCTTGCTTGCTTGCTTGCTTGGTTGGTTGGTTGGTTGTTGGTTGGTTGGCTGGCTGGCTGGTTGGGTGGTTTGCGTGATTGCCCGGTTGGTTGGTCGGTCAGTTGGTTTGTTTGTTTGCTAAATATGTGTTTGTCTGATTGTTCGTGTCTGTGTGTTTGTTTGGCTGCTTGGTTTGTTTGCTTGATTGTTTGATTGTTCATGTCTTTGTTTGTGTGCTGATTTGTTTGTTGAATTGTTTGTTTGTTGGTTGGGTTGGTTTGGTTTAGATTGGTTTAGATTGGTTTGGTCTCGTTTGTTTGTTGGCTTGTTTGTTTGTGATTGTCTCTTGTCTGTCTGTTTGTCTGTCTGTCTGTCCGTCCGTCCGTCCGTCCGTCTGTCTGTCTTTGTGTGTTTGTATGTTTGTGTCTGTGTGCTTGTGTCTGCATGTGTGTGTGTGTGTCTGTATGTTTGTGTGTCTGGTTGCTTGTGCGTGATTGCTTGTTTGTGCGGTTGGTTTATTGCTTGATTGATTGATTTATTGTTTGTTTGTTTGGTTGTTGGTTTGTTTGTTTGCTTGCTTGCTTGTTTGTTTGTTTGTTTGTTTGTTTGATTGATTGATTGATTGATTGTTTGATTCATCGATTGTTGTTTGTTTGCTTGCTTGCTTGCTTGCTTGTTTGTTTCTTTCTTTCTTTCTTTCTTTCTTTGTTTGTGGTTGTTTGTCTGCCTGTTTGTCCGTTGTTTGTGTGCTTGTAATGCGTTGCACCCTCTGTCCAACACTCAAACAATTTGACAGGAAGCCTTTTGAACATGACGCTCGCCTGCCAAACCCAACGTGGACCACTTCCATGCTGCAACGGGGGGGGGGGGGCTACATTGAGCAGAGAAACAAGTGAGAAACGACGAATGGGAGACAAACCTGACAGGAAAAGCGGGTCTCACAGCCCTCTTTGGATAACGTTTAAGGAACCCCTGGGCTGACGAAATCGAGGAACAAATGAAAAAGGGGAAAGGAAACGAACCAGTCAATACTCTAAGGCTCTAAGTTACACCCAACACGAGATCCGCTTGTGATTCAGCCTCAAGCGTCGCACAGGCCTGACAGTCTTGGCGAAGACTACGGGGAACTGCGACCAACGCCAAATGGCAACATGGGGGGAACCCCCCGGGTGCCTTGACCAAGTGACCCAAGTTTAAACCAAACATAAGCAAACCGTGTGCTGAACTCGGGGCGGAAAAACTGAAAACTCACCCCTGAAGAAACGAACCCAAGGAAAACCAATTAAACTGTCCTTCTGGTGTTGGTTGAATGTTCTGAGTTCTTCAAAAAGTAAGGGGAAGCCCGAATCCTAATCCGCAATCCCTATAATTCACTGATTCTTCAGCAACCCGGCTTTTCTTGTGGAGTCTCTCACGGGGGGTGGGGGGTCCTAAGGCTCCCTAAAGCAAATCTCTATTGGGAACTGGTGAGGGAACCCCCAAATCCTCTCAACTACCCACCCTTGTACCTCCCCCCCGGATGGGATTCCATAAATTCACCAGCACAGGTGCCCTTGTGGAAACATAGATGGCCCTGGTAAATGGAACCAAAGCCATCCAAACCAGTGCCTTCTATAATTTTACAAACTCGCCTAAAAAGAACACCTATGTTCACCGGCTCCCGGCTTCGGTCGCGACGCCATTGGCTTCCAACCGCTCGACGCGTCATTTTGCGGTCACACGTGAGGAGGGCACCTGCGCCTCGGGGTCTTGATCTAGCTCATCCAGCACGCCCCGGGCGTATCTGCAGGCGTCCCCGTCTTTTTCCAAGCTGGTTTGGCTATGGGGTCCTCGGTGGCGAAATCTGCTTGACTAACTTTTCGTGGTTGAATACGGAAAACCCAAATTCGTTGGCAAAAAGTTAAAGTCCCAACATCCCTTGGCAAAATGCACCAAAGGGTAGGCGATAAGCTGTTGGGGATACCACCTAGGCTTCTTTTGAGGGATTTTCGGGACCTTGTCGACTTTCATTGGGGGGGGTTATTGATCATATGCCTCCACTTTTGAAGTGGGTTTAAAGGAAATCCACGGGGAAACAAGCACTTTTTGGGCGCCCTATTTGAAGACACACCCAACTCACTCCAAAGGCTTAAAAACAAGTGCAACCGAGACTTAACATAGGCCACTATACCAAAATTCGATATCAATGAAAGGCCTTAGAAAACAAGGGGAGTGTGAAACCAATCGGAGCCGTATGATGGTTCTAAGCCAGTACGGGTATGCTTTAGCAAAACTGTGTCTCAAGGTGCTACGTAGATCGTGGTCAGTTCCACCCATGAAGCGACCTATGCCATACGGAAAATGGATGCGCCTTGTGCTGGAGATCATGAAATGCGCATCCTGATCAAGAAAGCAAAAAATCAAAAGAGCCGTGAAAATTGAGGTGAAAAGATCCAGGGTTGGATCTTCAGTATCAAAAGTGCTGGCCCTTGGTCTGAGAATCGCACCCACCAAACTTATATCGCCTGAAACTCTTGAAACGAGCTCCAAGGCTAAAACCCGCCAAAATGACAGGGGCCACAACTACCACCGCCCCCGTCGCTCGCCAGGCCTGCGGAAGACTTCGTATGGCACGGCGTCGCCGTGTGGGTTCAGCTTCGTCCGGAAGAGGCGGTGATACCTAGCTGCAACCAACAGCCAGCTGCCAGCAGATCCAACATTTATCACAGCACTTCCACTTACCCCTGTAGTGGGTTACCTGTAGGTGCTACATGATGGTTGCCCTGGTTACTACTATGATGGTGCTGTCGTAACACACGAAAAGGCGCACGCACAAACAGTGACTCTGTGTAAAGCAGCACCTGCAAGCACCACGACATGAACTGTGAAGTCCCCATATCTGGCTTGTGAAATCTGCAAAACATACCTTGCCGTCAAACACACGGAGCTCCGCATGCCCGCCAGCAACACCTAGATCGCGTTCATAAATGCCACGGTGCGTATCTCGTACCTCTTGCAGCTCCTTGGCAGGGACAACTACGTGCCATTCCCATCTGGAAGCGGTGAAGCTGTTGCCAAAGGGCCCCATGTTTGAGTACAGCACCTCCCATGAGCCAACCCAAGGCCAGCCCGTACAAATACCAAGCGACCACGGCGAATGACTCAAACCACCTACTGGAATTCCCATGGACCATTCAACCCGTGCCCAAGAGCAAGCAGCAAGCAAATCTTAAACACAATATGGGGGATGAATGGTACAACGGCGGTCCATCCACGTCCTAAATGCGAACCACTCACACAGAGCTTTGCAGATCCATGCCTGCCCAGAAATGGGTTCGTGTTGTTTGAGGTACCTTTTTCACCTCGAAGGGGAAACTAAGATGACAAGCACCATTGCTTTGCGACACATTTCCAACTGGTGCTCTGCTTGCCGTGTCTCTATGGCTGCCTTTCCATGATGAAGCATGGCGATCCGCTCGTTCAGCGACACGAGCTCAGCTTCCTCACAGTGCTGCGGGGGCTGTTGGCTTGACATTGGATGTGTTGGAAACGGGTTTTGGGAGAAAGGCAAGTTCACTCTTGCGAAGCGCACCTTCTCAGCTTCATTGGGGGCTGGGAAAAAGGGGGGGAGGGAGGGGGGACCGGGGAGGAGGAGCCCTTACAGCCCTGAGAAGGTCTTAATTAGGGCTGACTTGATCTTACTTGGGCTCTCTCCACCCCCTCTCCCCCCTCCAGACTCCATGACAGCTGGTCCTAGCTACACAGAGGCGCGAAGCTAGGAGCCCAGGTCCTGCAAGAGGCCGTCGTCATTCAGGTCATGAGCCTAAGCATCGAAGTGACGTCAATGGAAGCGAGCATGCGCGAGCGAGGACTGGGATGCATGTTCAAGCTAGGTCCTCCAGTACAGAGGTTAGAATAATAAGTTGGTACCCTTTTTTTCTGTAGTCTATTTTGTTGGGGAACCCTCCACCAAAAAAGGGTACATACCCTACATGCTGTGTGGTCAACGAAAAGTGCTTTTGTTTGGGACTCCGGGCCCTATGTTGCGAGTCTTGAATTGTGCCACGCTGGGCTTGTGTCAGAAAGCTGTGGGGTTTCCTTTGAAGCCACCCCCAAAAGGGCACCCTCCAAACACACAGCGAGGTCAACAAATGCAGTCCAGTGGCCTTAAACAGCTCCAGCGTCAGATCCTCTAGCCTGGCATTGGCGGAGGCTTCAATGGATCGAAGCCAAGGCCGAAGTGCACAAACCCCTGTAGAAAGACTACTTTTCTCTTGGAAAGGGGCCTTTTTGCACTTCCCTGTTAGTTGGTGGGAGGGTATCAGCTCAGCTTCCTTTTTTCGGGAATCCCGAAAGGTTCATTCGAATCCAACACCCGGACTCGTTGTCACATGGTTGACGTTGGAAGGGGGGCAAGCATTTAAGTTCTAGCAGCTAAGTAAGGATTGCAACCACTAAACCACAACAAGCAAAAATGATTCAAATGTTTCTCACTTGCTTTCTGCTCCCCTGCTAAAAGTGACTAACTTTAGTGGTTTAGTACGGAAAACCCCAAACTCGTGGGCGAAAAGTTCTTCAGTCCTAACATCCCTTGGCAAACTGCACCCAAGAAAACCCCGAGGCGATTCATCCCGAACCGTTCCCTAGGGCCGCGGGCCCGGATTCAACGAACGGACGTGCCCGGATTCAAAGGTTTCCCAAGCGCCATGGGAACCGTTCCCTACCTCTCGCAGCAGAGCCGTGTCTCGGGTCGCACCTCTTGAGATCCACTTCCAGGGACTCCTTGGCGAACTTGTCCTGTCGCTTCAGGGCGGTGACGCCCCGCCCCGGCCCGCCCCGGACCCCAAGAAAACCCGGAAAGGCCACAGGTCCAGGGGAAAATGAACGAAGGTCCCAGAGATCTAGGGGCCTCAGGATTCAGGATGCAACATATCAGCCGAAAGTGAACTTAGGAATATCAGCTTACCTCTAATTGGTGGTTTGGATTGGTGGTTTGGTGGTTTGGGGTGTTGGTGGTTCCCATGTATCTTCTACAAGAACCAGGGGTTCAAATCCCAAACCACCAATCCAAACCAACAATTGGAGGGAGGCTGCACCTGTGGTTCTGTACTTCTCCTGGTTCTATGTTCGCATCAAGTTCCCTGGACTGGCCGTCGAACGATCAGCGTTTCCGGCACCGCTTTTCCGACACTCCGTAATTCAACAGCTCGTGAATGTCACTTGCACGAGGCAGTGTCGGCAGGAAAGCCCGTTCTTTTTGCTTGGCCAACTTGGATGTCTCAAACTACCATGTCCTCACAGAACTCCGATCGGAAGCTGCTTAGCTCCTTTTCAAAAGGATACGACCCCAGCTCGGGAACGGCTCCCTTCCAACCACCAGCCAGCTAAATAGGGACCCCGTTTTAAACCTCCTGTCTGGAGGAAGCGGTCTCCAATCTTTAGAACTCGTTTCACCCTTTCCAACCCTTGCTATGATAGCAACGACTTGTTGTTTCTTTGCAGCCCCTACCAACATTGAACAGAATCAAACAAACAAAAACCTGAAGCACATGCCAGCAACAGCCATGCCAGCAACAGCAAATATGTCTCTCAGGTATGCTCCTTAGCTCTCCTCCTCTTCTTCGATGTCTGGGACACCTGCAACAATGCCACCCAAAGCAGATAGGCCACCCAAGGTAGGCCAGCCGTCTGGCAATGATATGGGATTATCTGACACAGAGGAAAAATAGCTCTGATTGTGGTTTGCCTTTAAAATCAGCAAAAAGGAGCAATCAACATTCCCTCACTTCCTGAGTGGATTGGTCAACACAAGTAACCATGTTTTCTTTTATTTACCGCTAAGACGGCCTTTCCAGAAAGTGACTCAAGTCCAGGCACTCAGGAAGTGAGGAATAGATTGGCTCCGACGATCTGGCTGCAGTGCTTCCTTGGGTTGGCCAGCTTCACAGGTAGCAAATGCTTGTGCAAACATGTCGCAGACCAACATATAAGGGAAAGTGAATCAAATGCTGGGAAAGGTCATAGGGTTCCCGGACGTGTTCAGGCTTTTCAGAAAGGGACGCAATTGCCCGCAATGGTTGCCGACTCCAAGGCCGGGTGCCACGGAGGGTTGGCAAAAAAAACCTTGTTCAAATCAACGAGCTTGCGCGCACCAAACACGGGAGCACAATTGGGCACTAACCTTGACCCACCCTCAGCCAAAAAAAAACATAACACCTGCAGGGTCGCCGCGGCGTGGCAAGCTTTGCTTTTGAACCTAATCCAAGAGCAACTGAACCAAGTCCACTTTGAGCCAGCTGCCAGGTGAGTGATCCCAATATTCATCGTCAAAAAATCCAAGGAGCACCGTGGAAGGCGCGGAGTTCCTTCAATGGACCAATCTTCCTTTGCGTGCCTGCGGTGCGTTGTTTGGTGGTGCGCGCCTGCTGATAGAGTCAAAGATCCATCCCGGGTGAAGGGTGGAATGCGTGGAATTCCGAGAAAATAAACTATAAACAGAAAAAACAACTGCCGCGCGTGCTGCCCGTGCCGGGCGTGGGCAGGCGCCTGCTTGGTGTCCAAGCAAAAGATCCAATCTGCGGCATCCACGGTGCTGCAGTTGGTGCACTGGGCGAAGGCCCCTGGCGTGAGCGCTTGAGCGGGGTTCCGCGGGGAAACCTCCGCTTCCCAAAAAAGGATGTCCGTTTAAAGCCAGGGGATTCGAAAGGACACGTTGCCCATATCAAAGTGCCACCCCCTTCCACAGACAATGTGCCTGAGATCCAAATGTTGGGTTCCACCCTGTCTGGGCACTCGCATCGGATGGCACAAGCCAGAGGCAGCGGGGGTATGGGCAAAGCAACAACAAGCGAAGACATTCAAGGCTGCAACCCGGAAAAGGAATTTTGGCCCCAGAAACAGCTGGTTTTTCCACGCGGATGCTGAGGAAGCGTTGCCAACCCAGAAACCGCCAATGCAAGGTGAAGAAGCTTTTTGGATTTTTGAGCAGCTCCCACATCCCAAAGCTCAAACAAAAAACGAGTCACACTGGCCCCATTCTTTTTTACCACTATCAAAGCCACTCCCTATAGGTCAAAGGGAACCACACATACTTTCTGACTTTCATAACCCCCCAAGAACAGTCAAAATCATGATCCCTTTTTCTGTAGTCTATTTTAGCAGGGGAACCCTCCCCAAAAATAAAAATAAAAAAATAAAAGGCCGCTACTGGGGGACCTGGCAATTGTCACTCGACCCCTCTCGCAACTTCTGCCCGCCTTGCGCCAGGGAGGCAGAGCAAAGGTTAGCGCCCATCCTTCGGCCGAAGGAAGCGATGGGCACCGTATCCAAAGGCACCTCTCTCTATATATATACCTAGAGCCTCCGGCGGCTGAACTTTCAGCCGATTTGATTGGCGGCCTGTTTTTCAGCCGATTTCCCAAAAAACAGCCGAAACCCAAAAAAAACGCCGATGAGAAAAAATATTTGCCGATTTGGGCCGCCACTTCGACACAAGACCAGCCAGTCAAGGCCAAGTTTTTGGGGCTGGGGCATGTGAAGGAACCCACAAACAATAAAGCGCCTTTTCTGCAATTTAGCTCTTCGAAGCTCTCTTGCAAAACATTATCGCACACGCTTCCCTTATTGGCGGCGGACCCGGATGTGCTTCCGAAGCACTGCACAGGTCTTTAAGAACACACGTTCCAAAACTCGCCTTCCAGACTGTTTTGTTGATACTCTCCGGCTTAACCTCGCTGTTTTTCCTACCAGGTCCTCGCAGCCTCGCATACAGTCGCGATGGGAGACGTAGTCAGGGGTGCTCCCGGTTCCAATGCCTAAATGCTTTGTGGTGCATCGAGTGGTACTTGGGTTTGAAGCGGAACCCAACGATTTGGAAGGCAAGCGCCCCTTCAGCAAGAGCAGCACAATTGTGGAGGAGGATCATCAATTTCAAACAGATTGTCACAAGAGTCACGGCGGTTTAATGCTGACTGGCCGCGTTCCATGACTGCGTTGGAACCCCGCTGCTTGTGCTAAGTCACTAGGCTCAAAGCCACCGTGCTGCAACCAAACAAATCGAAAGCATGAATGTGCTTACGACACTTGTGAAAAATGTTGTCCGCCAAATTCCGCCGATTTCCCGCCAAATTCCGCCGATTTCCCGCCTAATTCCGCCGATTTCCCGCCTAATTCCGCCGATTTCGGCCGTCTGAAAAAACATTAATTTACCGAGAAAAACATAACATTGCAGAAATTGCGCAATTCACGCACTGTAGGGCGGCCTGCTGCTTGTTTCCACGAAGCGTGTGCAGTCACACCATCTTAGCCCGCGCGTAGCCAACCAGTCGGCCACTTCAGCCACATGCGTGCATACATGTGTTTCTTGCAAAGACGCGCAGGTGTCAGCAGCAAGGGGACAAGACTAATTAGTATGGATGCCGCTCTTGGCTGGAAATCGTCAGTCCACACGCAGGAAGTCGCGAAACTAAGGTGGACTTCTGAACAATGTTGATGCCTGCGCGTAAAGCAAGCAGTCTGAAGGTCAGCGTAGAACCACGGGTCGCCCGCCTGTGTGTTCTGGAAGGGTCGGGGCAGAGGGATGGTTTTATCAACCTTGAAATCAATCAAAGATGGGTCCCCAATTTTGGTTGGTGTTAGCCTTGCAAAGCAGCAAGCTAGGTCTCACCAACCTGCGTGGGCAGAAAAAAGTTGTAAGAGGTCGGCCACGCGCTGTTGGAGCCACCAAGGGCCGAACTGAAGGCAGGCAGGCAGCCCCCGCCCCGCCCACGCCCGACAGAAACCAAAAACGTCACCTGCCACAAAAACGCCGACAGGAAACAAGATCAGCCGAAACTTCCAAAAAAAGCCGAAATCAGAAAAAGGATCCTTTTTGGATCTAGGCCAGAACTTTGGCCGATTGAGAGGTTGCAGGTATATATATGTATATTATATGTAAATCTATATAATGTTGGAGAGTGATTAGTAAAGGGCCCCCCCCCTTCAAACGAATTTGGGAGGGTCAATAGCGAAAACCCCAAAAACAAAATGGGGGTCAGACTGGGACCTGCCTGAGTAGTCCTCCAGTAAGTATTGTTTAGAATTGGTTTAGTATTGGTTTAGTGTTCCTTTGAGCTGGCTCACTACGGTTTAGAATTGGCTTAGTATTAGTTCAGTATTCTTTTCAGTTGACTCACTACAGTTTAGAATTGGTTTAGTATTGGTTCAGTATTATTTTCAGTTGACTCACTACAGTTTAGAATTGGTTTAGTATTGGTGCCTGTTTTTTTTGCTGGCGGATATCCCATCTCCTGTTTTTTTTTTCACAATTCCCTACCCTTAAACAAACTGCATTATTGCCTTCCTGGGGGTTCCGTGTGCCACCCCCTTGAAAACTTGTCAGGGTGCATCTTCTAGTAAAGGGATTGATAAGGAATTTGGTGGTTTGGGACAGGAAGCAAGCAAAGCAAAATCTGCATCATCGACCATGTAGGTATGGGTCGAAACTAAACCACCAGGGGACCGCAGGTTTAGTCTGTGTTTCCATTCGCCAGGGTTTCATTCTGGGTACCTAGTTTGATCCAGGCCTTTTACACAGTGGTCCAGGACCTGTACCCGCTTTGGATCCCTGATCTTGCTCAGCTTCTGTAAATGCAAGTGACCAATACACAGCTGCACTCGCTCTCAGATCTTCTTGGATCTATTGCGAACCTCACACAATCAAAAAGGACCTTAGTGACAAGGGAGCTGCAACAAGTCCTGGCATGCGCCAAATGAGCCAAACACTCAGAAATTCTGGCCCAAGCCCTTGACACACGATGTTCAAGATTCGCGTGAGCCAAGCAACCAACTGCCGAAGTCTCTGAAAATACAGCTGTGCAAAAAGCGGGCATTGACCATTTCACGGGAGACTCAGCTTCCTGTGCTGAGATGTCGATGTTTTGTTTGGGTTGTTCCCCCGTTTTGGTTGGCTTCAAAGGGACACCAAAAGCAAGACACACATTTTGGGAGGTGCGCCGAAAAAAAAAAATATTAGAAAAATGTCATGTCCCTCAGCCGTCAGGCCATCTAGTCGCTCTCTTCGCTCTCTTTGCTTGGCTCTTTGCCTGACCCGAGTAAAAACACGATCCGCAAGCTCGGCCGCTGCGCACGGCTGGGGACCCTGCAGACTGGGAGCGGCAGGCCGAATCGCGGTGCAGCGGCTTGGACAGCTGCGGGCGGAAGCCGTGAGATCTGATGCTTCAGCCACTCAATTCTGAGGGGATTTGCATTACACCCTGGGAATACACCCTTGGGAAATGGCCCGGAATGGCTCAAAATCACACGGTTTTATCCGGAAATGCGCCTAATGGGGTCAACAACCAGTGGGTGCATTCCTAGGTGTAATGCAAAAACCCGTGGATCAATGGGTCCGGAGAACCAACCAACCAGCTGCAACCAAGCCTCATTTGCTCGATCTCCCGGACTGGAACGAAAAACCACTTGGGGAGTGTCTATCCCAGTGGCTGGCAACAAAGTGGCTGAAGGATGTGCCTTGCCTCAAAATCCCTCGCTTCGACCGGGCAAGCACATGGGCACCTGAGAGTGAAAGGAACGAAAAGCAAACTTGCGCCGCAAAATCGTTCTGTAATCCGTGTCTCTTTGCCTTGGTTGCTGTTGACCCCGCTGCAAAAAGTTCAACTTTTTGGTGGTTTTGTGGAAAACCCCTTGATTTCCCAAAAAGTTAAAGTCTAAAGATCCAACCCAATAGCAGTTAAGTTGCGCTTCACTCGCATTGCTTTTTGGCCTCCAGCGCGTCTTACTTGTTTGCCAGGCAAGCGTCGCTCTTTTGGACCCTCAGCTTTGCCGAGTGACCAAGTGATGGGACACACAGATCGGCCTTCGGAAGCCAGCAGGGCGCTGATCTTCAGTCCAATGGCCACGCACAAAGCCGAAAACGAACGTTCGCCTGAATCAAGAACCAAAACGCCTTCTTTGCAGCTCGATGGGAGGCCAAGTGAGGAAAAGACATGAATCAAGCCGGAGCGCAAGGCCAAAAGCGCGATCTCTTTGCGTCGTTTGAATCTCGCGATGGCCTTTTGCACACCACAGCTCCCTCTTGTTCTTACAAGGGGAAGCTGCAGCCTGCGAAGATTTGCACCTTTTGACCCAGCTAAGAGACATGGCCGTGTCCTCGATTGGGGGGGTGGCGGATGTCGCTCACTCTCTTTCGAAGAGTGCTGCTAAGGCACCGCCTGGCAGCGGGGAGGGGCGCACTCGCCATGTGTTGGTGTTGTGCAGGCCGACTTTGGACGTCGGGGGGGGGGGGGGGTGTCGGTCTTTTGTTGGAAGCAAGCTTTTAGTAGAAATACAGTTCGCGATGCTTGCTTCGCCTCGCGATTGCGTGATGGCCATTCAAATGAGTTGGGCAACTGCTGCAGGACGTCGAAGCATGATCCACATAATGGACGAATGGCCTTGGTGTAGCGGTCCCAGCTCTATGGAAAAGAAATCGAAGCAGGCCACTGTCCGGCACATGGCCAGTGTCTGCCCTGCCTCCTGGCTTGCGCTTCTCGAGGAAGGCCCAAATCCTCGCCGGCCATGAGCCAATATGCAGCAACAAAAGCTGGGAATAGGCGCTCCTTATGACAAGGGAAGTGAACAGGCGCTAAGCAAAGACTCTCAACAGGGCAAGCCCCGGGAGGAACATGCTGCAACCCATTGGCCAGATGATCAACCTGAGTCAGGGTGCGTTCGGTCACCCAAGCTCAGTGGGGAGAACAAAGCTGCCGTGAAATTTTAAAGAGCGACCCAACCTCGAAGCTTGGTTTAGGATTTCCCCGCAAAGCCGCTACATGCCCTTTTCTCGTTCCGAAGGGGGTTTGGTGCAATCTGTGGATTGCAAAGGCGCCCGTGTCAGTGAAAGCACGGAACAACTCTGACTCTAGCACAAGCTTGCTAGAATCATTGAGTTGTCATTGGCTCGCGCGTCGCGAACCAGCAAACACCTACTTCACAAAAAGCACGTGAATAAGGTTATCAACGCCAGGCGAAACACAACCAATGGCAAAATCAGCATGTTCCTGACTTAGGGGTGAAAGTGTGATGGTTCCGGGTACTTTTTATCCGTACCATGTAAATGTGTATATATATACACATAAGCTACACTTTACGTGGTTCGTGTGTCGACGCACTTGTGCATGACTGTGTTCACGCATGCCGCGCAGGCAAATCCCTCGCACCAGTGAGCGCGCAGGCGCACACCACGTCACTTGAACCATATTCTGTGATCAAACGACATTTCGAAGGAACACGATCGGCTAGGATGCACCGCCATGAAAAGCAACTGCCTCCTGAGTGCGGTCCCAAGCCAAAGCACGAGCCGAAGCAAATGCTTTCTGCGCACCTCCAAAAGTGACTGCTGCAAAGCCAAAATCCCCCCTACTGTAAGGGGGAGAGGGGTGGGGGGTCCCCCAATTCCATTTATCCACTCTTCCCCACAAAAGGGAAACTGGCACCATAAATGGAATTCCAGGGGTCATCCCCCTCCCCCAATTCCATTTTGAAGGGGGTGGGGATAAGCCAAAAAGGCACTCTGTAGCTACTGCCTGACATCTTTTGCCACGTTCTTGGCAAGAGTCTCCCAAGGCAGGTGGTCATGGCCATCCCTCACCCTTTTTAGGGAAAGATCAACACACATACTGCCATACCCGGTTCTTCCAGTCGTCACTATATAGCTAGGTTTTACATCATGGTTTCCACTGGTTGCCTCGAGTGGTCGCCAAAAGCACCGCCAGAACGCACAAACCAAACCCACAGATCCGCCGTCCAATCCCGGGCCCCCACTCCGGTCCCGAAAAGGAAGGGCACCCCAAGCGCACCCACGAAAGCGCCTCCGATGCACTGCAGAGGCGGCGCTAGCCGCTGGCTGCTGCGAGGTAAAGTCCTTCTCTGAAATTTCACCCAGTGGATCCATTGGTTTTGTAGGCAACCAAGGGAATCATCCGATATTCTAGGGGTAGCTTCCCCATTCTTTCCAGGGATCCTTCTTTCTAGAAAACCACAAAAAAACCTGGGGAAATGGATCTGGTTTTTGAACAGAGCGATGGCGGAAAAGAATGGAAAAGGAATCAACCCCTAGAGATATAAAAATCAAACGGAAAATACTTGTAGCTAGTTAAAGATACTACAAGGGTGGCTGGATTGGCTACTTGTGAGTGGCTTGCGTTTTTTTTCCTCGCTGAGCAAAGGGTCTAAGCTTTTGAAGGTTTAACGGAACACCCATTTCATTTGTTTCCAAGAGGGTCTGAAGGATTCCAGAGAGCCACTCCGACCACACCAAAGACCGAATCGCAACAGGGGTGTGTCTGCTTTTGAGGCTACCGCTTTTTGGTGGTGATATATATACATATATATATATACCTATATATTGGTCCAAACAAAAAACAAGAAGACTACACGATTTCACTGGTGGGGCCCTCAAACGAAGACACACCCGTGTCGCCTCGTGAGCTCAAGCCGGATTCGCCTCCAATCATGGCCCCGGGATCCAGGGGGTACTGGATCTTGGGCGGCAGCGGCACAAAGGTGACCTCTCGCGCAGCGGCGGGGTTTTGGTTCCGCCAGCTTCCCGTGGCTTGGACGTTGGGGGGTTCTGGTTTCCTCAGCTTTCGAAAGGTGCCGAGGTGTTTGTTCATCCCGAAACCGCCAATCCAAGAAACCAGTTGTTTTTCTTGTTCTCTCTCTCTCTCTCTCTGCCGTTGCGTCCAGAAACCAGGTTAGGGGTACCTGATATTATTCCGATACGTCCAATGTCAGGTGGCTTGCTGTAGTTGGTGGTTTGGACGGCACGACGAAAGGGCTGCGGTTCAAATCCCCAAATCACCGATTCAAGCCACCAACTATGGGGTACCGGTTTGGATTGGTGGTTTGGAGGTTTGGCGGTAGTTTCCCAGTTGCCCGCTACAAGAACCAGAAGGGCAAGTCCCCAAAACCACCAAAGGGGTACTTGACTTCCGCTTGGATTCCCGAAAAAAACAACAACCCCAAAGGGGGGACCCCAAATTGATGCCTGAACGCCACTGAGCTAAGAAAGCCAAACTGTTTGTTTACCACAAACACATGGTCTTCCCAACAAGTTTAAAGTGCAGGACCTCAGAAAGTGTGTATTTGGCCCCCACACCACCACGTTGAGCAGAACCAGGGCTCTGGCATTGCCATCTTCTTGCAGCCGCCTGTTCAGGCCTCAGTGGATAGGCTTTGGGGGGCCACTGATAAACTACTTTTGGCTAAAATGCTTGTAACAAAGACTCCTGGGAGCAATTAGCACAAATTCGCAAGTGTGCCAAAGCTGCTAGTGGTACGACTCGAGGAATCAAGGAGCACTTGAGCTTTTCAAGTTTCAAGTGTATCCAACCATCAGGCATGGCACGCACGGACACTGACACTGGCTTACTTGCCCTGCTCCAGGACAAGGCCATCCACAATGGGACCGTGCGAACATGATGTGACGCTTCAATAGTGCAAAGAGCCCTCACAATTCTGAGCTGTCCTCAAATCCCCCGCTAAAAGCTTAACTTTTAGTGGGCTAAATGGAAAACCCCACTAAAACACTAAAAAGCTAAAAAGCTAAGGAACCGGATGGCTGGGAGCCACCAAGAAATAAAAGAGGCTTGCAAAGGAGCCTCGTCATCAGAGTAGGGACAACCACCGCGATCCCAAGTCTAAGTTGTTTTGTCCCAAAATAAAACCTACCGCCGCGGTCCTAATGCCGGGGCAGGCATCGATACGGGGCCGGACTACTACCTAGGCTACTTGAAGGGCATTGTACTTGGTAAGTGGGCAATAACCATGGTTATACGCCACTTACCATGGTTATAAGTCTCCTAACGGGTTCTCGCCAGGCTTACTGACCACTTACCAAGTACCCTGCCCCTTCAAGTATGGTTCGAAGTTCGGGGTATTCAGAGTTTTGTCATGCGTCGCTTCGTTTTTGTTCCAGCCGGCGAACAAGTACACCTGCAGCAACCACCACAACAAGCACGCAGGCCATAAGTTTCTCCAAATATATCTTATAAGTGGCATCGTATTTTGGAAGCCCCATCGTTTACCGGGTGATCACGCATTCTTGCCCAACCTGAAAACGCCGCTGATATTCATCTCACAACTTGCGGAACAAGAAAACAAAAACCAGATCGCGGGGCTTCCAAAGGAAGATGCAGGGTCCACGTTCCATTGCTGGCCAGAAGCGTGGGCCAAGTCCAAAAAGTTTGGACATGGCTGGCATTTCCGGGCTTGCCCACCTGGACTTCTAGCAGCGCACAGCGTAAGTGTCAGCAGCACCTGGCACGGGAAAAAAGATTGCGTCCCCCTTTTTGGTCCGCATTGCCATGAAACCTGACTGAGGGGTTTTTGGAAGACCATGTTCCTTTAAACAGGATCCTTAAATTATACACCTGAACATTGCCTTGTAAATGGTGGTGTCCCTTTATGTTGGTGGAAAAAGCCATGTTTCAAATCAAACATGTATCTTCTAAGGAGCCCTGTTAAAATGGACCGTTTGGAGGGTAACTCATCTGTGGAAAGCGATCTGGGACCAACATGCTCAGGGAAACTGCAAGTGCTGCGAGCTTTGGCTGCACAGTCGCCCTCAGCCATGGCCTCACACGTAGCGTGCGCCAGCAGCTCTCTCTCGGCGAAGCAGGAATGCTGCCCGTCAACAAACAGAACATCCACCCTGATACCCACCAGCTATGCTCATTGCTACTGCACCTGACCAGCATGAACCAGAAACTGGCTGCGCCGTGCGTCACCAGATTGCCTCGATGCACAAAGGGCTTGTCGAATCCTTGGAACAGCTGCCTGGTGCTGAGGTGGCGAACGCTTAATTCCTGGGTGCTGAGGTTGCTACCAAGCGATCCCATACAGTCAGCGATGGGCACCGTGGACTCTTTGATCCGTCTCTTTAACAAACAAAACATGCACACCCACCTTCTGTAAGCAACTAAAGCACACATGTAACGCGCACCACCCATACTGCCACATCTCCCCCTCCCACCCGAAAGGGACACCCAAAATTGCAATGTCAAAGCTCCTGCTAATACTTTGCCCATGCTAATTTCTGCCTTGTCAGTCTAAATATTCAACCAACAAACCCAAAAAAACATCAGCGCCAGAAAAAAAGCCAGTTTCGGTGCATGCTTGATTCAGTTACTACTGCAGCTTCTCGAAGAACCAAGGTCCGACAAGCTCATAAAGGGTAGCCCCTCGCTCAATACCATCCACATACCTTGCTAAGGTACCAAGGCACCTTTCAGCAACATGAAACAAAGGCAAGGGAGAACATGTTAGCAACAAGGCGCCGGCAAAACATCCTCTGCTCCAATCATGCCAGTAGTGCGATCAAGGTCGAAATCGTCCTCATTGCCTGGCGAACACCTCCCCAAAACTCCCGAAGCAACTTCCATCCAACGCAAAGGGTTGAGAGACACATGTACCAGCAGCTTTAGGGCAAGCACTTGTTTTTGTCCGGGGTTGGAATGGTGGTTTGGATTGGTGGTTTGGGGATTTGAACCCTAGCTCCTTTTGGCAAGGTACCCCGTAACGTCCGAAAACCAACCCAAACCACCAACTAGAGGGAAGCTGAGAAACAAGGTCTTGGAGCAAGCCTGGAAATCTGAACCAGTCCCTGAGGATTCCTGCGGCTGTCTTTTCAATGAGCATCACACTGTCACTGTGAGGAATCATGTTGTCCTTCCAGTAAGAAAGCAGTACAATTGACACTCATGCCCATAGGTGTTCTTTTAGGGGAAATAGATGGCCCTGGTAGATGATTAAACCGGCAGGTAAACCAGGGCCATCTATCTTTCTACCAAAACAACCAAAAAAGACACCTATGCTCATGCCTTTGCCCAGCCTTCGCAAGCCTTCAACCAACCCTACCCCGTCCGCCTTGAGCCAAACCGACCAAGGACTGCATCTGCGTTTGGAGGTGGGACACGCCAACATGTGGCGCTCGAATCCGCAGATGGCCGGGTGAGTTCCTCTCTGAAGCAAGCCAACCCGAAACATCCCGTAGCCGTGCCCTGCGTTGGGGGCCACATGATGGGCCGCGGGCACAACCTCTGCAGTGGAAGCCTCCACTGGAAGTCAACAGCAAACAGCGACTCCCAACAAGTTACTTGTTGTGGTGTTGCTGTTTTCCTGAACTCCAAGATGGCCATGCTCAACAAACACCGTATATCAATGTGGTGCCTGCGCATGAAAACATGTGGCACCACTCGGATGAATATTTCACAGGGACACAATTCCTAGTGGCATATTGCAAAAAGGCTCCATAAGGTACATAGATACACTACATACATATTGATACGTGCAAGTACACACAAATATACATTTCTAGATGCACGTGTATATATATATATAATATATACATGCACCTTCATTTAAGTCCTACAGCAGCCTTTGCTTGGAGCGCCAGCTCCTTTCTCTCGCAGCGGCGCTTGGCGCTCTGACACTCCTCCATCTCTGCGCGGGCGCGCTTGGAGAGCAGCTGCAGCGCCTCAAGTCCAAAGACGCGAAGACGCAAAGAACTGAACCCTCCATTTGCTTAAATCCCCTGGAAAAAAGCAAGCATATTCCCAGTAGTGATAGATTCCGTTTAAAACCAACAGGGGAAAATAAAACATATTCTTAACCAAATGGAAGGAACTCCTCGGACGCACCCCCCCCGAACATAGCTCGAACATGGTCTATGTCTTCGCCTTTCCCAAGAGAGGGTTCTTTATTAAAGTTTAGGTTTTTGCTTTTTTGGGGGGGTCAATATGTTCGTCTTTCCCAAGAAAGTGTTTGTGTATGTGTTTGTTGCTTTGGCCGGGGGGGGGGGCGAGGGTTGGGAGGTCCCCTTGGGAATGTGAAAAACGTGAAGTGAGTGTGGAATCCGCCTGGTACGGGACCTTAATGAGCTCGATCCACCCAAGAGCTGGCCAAGGCAGAAGAATCCCGTGGTTCGATGCGAGCGGGCTTCCTCGCCAAACAGGAACCACTCTGGGTCGGCCTTCCCCAAAAGGCATCTGGATGCAATGTTTGAAAGTCATTGCCTGCAACATAACAACAGACGTGGCAGGACTTCGCATGCAAAAGCGCGGCAACATGCGTGCAATCGCACAACAGGTGCACATGGCAAATTTGAATGCTCGGTAGGCCCCCTACGGCACTATCAATACGATTGATCATGTGCTTCAACATGGTACTTGGATCTACATACTTCGCAACAAGAGCTGCTCTATTCCCAAAGCCTCAGGGCGATGGCACCATCCAATCCCAATGGTCCCGTCTGCCTTCTGATTAAACCCAACAAGGTTGAAAGGTCCAAGAGTTGGCCACATGATCCGTAACCCCAGTCATCTAGTTGCTAGTTGAGGTTTACAAAGGGTTAACTGGGGGTAGGCGAGGGTTAAGTGGGGGTGAATGGGGGCGTTACCTGGGGCTGACTATTCGCTGACTCAACTTACTGGTGGTTTCCATTGAAACTGCCACCTTTGGAGGTCGAAAACAAGGAAGTTGAAGGAACCTTGAGTTAACCAACCCTCTTTCCAACAATGGACTGGGCTACCCTCAGATCCCCCGCAAAAGTTTAACTTTTAGTGGGTTAAATGGAAACTACCACAAAAAACTAAAAGGCTAAACAGCTAAGGAACCGGATGGCTGGGAGCCACCAAGTGGAAGTGAACTGACAGGAAACTTGCCCCAGCAAAGTCGTCTCCTGAACACCCGGACTCGGTTGCTTTCTGCTCCTAACTTTTAGTGGTTTAGTGGAAAACCCATTAGTTGGCAAAAAGTTAAAGTCCTAACATCCCTTGGCAAAATGCACCAAAGTGGACAAACCACACGATGGAGCCGAGTCCTGCCTTGGCGCGCTGCCGCCCAAAGAGCGGCCGCACCGCCGCGCCGGGTGACAGCTGCACCTCGCCACACTGCAGGGCCTCGTCCCCGGGGAAGGGGCGAAGCGCGACCTGGGAAGCCGAACCGCTTCGGCAGGATGATCCCTTTGGACCCCTTCAGACTGATAGAGTTGAAACAATATACATTCTAGTGAGAGACGAAATCCACCGTCTCTATGCGTAATAAGACTTAATCTTTTAGACAAGCATATGACTACTGGCAGGATCAACTGCTTGAAGACTCACTTCCGAGCGAACGATGCTTTGCTGTTTGTGGCTCAACTCCAAAGGGCACAAAGCATCACACTCATAGGTTGCGCATGGACCAAGAAAGTCGATACTCGCTTTGGGCAAGTGAGACAAAGATGCCCTCACGAGTTACCGAGGGACAACTCTTGTCTCAAGAAAGCTTTGCCAGTGGAGAGCCTAGGACTCCGCAAAGGACCCCAAAATTCAGAAAGCCCCACCCGAAATGAAAACTTCGAATCCCCAAGAATCCTGGTGATACAGCTGCTCTCATTTTGCCCACGCTGCTGCAACTGGACCTTGCTGACATTTGCTTTCCATGTGCTTTGCAATGCCAAGAAGAGCTGCCAGTGCCAGCTTCGCACTAGCACCAGCACAGCCACGAAGCATTGCCAAGACAACACAAACATCAGACAGAAAACACTAGAATCCAAAAAGGTGTGGCTTTCTGAATGCAATGTCTTTTTACAAGCCCTTTCAAACAGTTATGGTTTGAGCAGGTCACGTGAGGTTCCCCACATGAGTGCCCAGGTCATGTGAATAATTACGTGTCGCGTGTTATCAATACTAAATCAACTGAATATTCATTCAAATCAAATAAAGGGAACTTCCAGCAATACTAAATCAAATGGAAACTCCAATCCAACAATACTAAATCAACTGCATACTCAACTCAAATTCAACAGGATGAGTGAAATCCCACAATACTACATCAAATGGAAAGTGAAATCCTACAATACTAAATCCAATGGAAACTCAAATCCCAGAATACCAAATCAACTGGATACCTAATTCAAATTCGAAAGGATCATCCAGCAATCGTAAATCAAATGGAACAATACTAAATCAACTGGACACTCAAATCAAATTCAAAAGGAAGCTCCAGCAATAGTAAATCAATTGGACAGTGAAATCCACCAATACTAAATCAAATAAGTGGAAGCTTAGATCAACAAAAACAAAGGAAGCTCCAGCGATACTAAATCAAAATGAAGCAAGGACCGAAGCTCCTCTTGGAATTCATCTGGAGCTCTGAAATCCTCATTCCCAATTCAAAAGAAGTATTGCCCAATACTATAGGGTAGTATTGCACAATACTAAGTAGACATTCCAGATTAATTTAGTGTCAGGATTTCTTTTGGGAGCCCAAAAACCTTCTCGACCTTGCCAAAGGGGCTATTAATGCGATGTAAGCATTATAACCTCACCATATCTGTGGGAAACTGGGGTAGGTCCCCTAGGCAGGGTTTCAACCGTGGTTTCCCAGCTACTGGAACCAAGAGGGGAGAACAACAAAAATACATTCTTTGCAGCAAATGGAAGCTCAAGTTAATTGGCCCACCAAACCACCACGATTGTCCTTTTGCCAAAAACCAAAACAAAGACCAAAAGGCCACCCCAAAAATTGCAAAGGGGCTATCCCTAATCTGCATCCACCATTAACCTTTTGGGGTCATGACTAGTGGACCAACATTGGAAAACCTAAAGGTCAGATGCGATTGATTCGCTTTGAACAACTGAGTTACTAACCCTACTAACCTTCATTTACCCGGGTTTTGACTTTCATTTTATTTTTCGTCCTCTGCAAAAAAGGGGAACAAATGTCCAGTGGTGAAATCGATTCCCTTTCAAAACCAACAGGCCAAAGCAAATACAAAACACACCTCACTTCAAGACTTCCTGAGTGGACCTGCCAAAGAAAGTCCAAGCTTTTTATGTACCACTAAAAGGTCCAAGCCCAAGAAGTTACTAAAGTCCGTGAACTCAAAAAGTTTTTGTACACCCCACATAGAGGTTGATACCCAGATTAAGGCGCGCCGCGTGGAGCGTCTCTGGGCCTCCGGCCACCACCTCACCGAAGTTGGCCTCTGCCGAGCCCAGCACCGCCCAGCGCGGCACACCCCACTGCCGCAAAGCCGGCCGCGCGAAGCCTGGCTTCCCCGTGTGCATCCACAGAGGGATAGAGAAACGTCTACATGTATATATTTATATATAAATATAATTATGTATATATATATATATAATATATGTGTATACGTGTATATATGTGTATAGATTCATGCATATGTGTGTAGACCTATATATATATATATATATGTGTGTGTGTTGATCCATACATACAAACATACAAACATAAGTGTGCCATAAGTGTATATACATATGTAGATGTGTGTGTGTGTGTGCGCGTATGAGCGCATATTTGCGTCTATACAACATATGCATATTACATGTACAGTTGTAGTTATATATATATATACATGTGCGTGTGCTTGTGTGCGTGCTACATTGAATGTGGGAAATACGATTCCTTATCACAGAAAGTAGCCGCATCCCCCCACCCACCCCCCACCTCCCCGCCCCAATTGGTTTTCCACGACCGTGGCATGGCTGGTCGGGGGAATCATGCAAGCGGAGAAAGACGCAGGCGCACGACAGCTGGGAATAGGGGGTTCTCAGTTCTCAGTTTGGGGACAACGCCAAGCATCGCAATTCCCTTCTGGAAGCAAAGTCTGATCTTGGCCGCTTATCTCTAAACCCGGGCCATCCATCGGGAAGCAACGCCCAAGCCATGGCTTCAAAATTGGGGCCATGACTGGTATACAATCGAAACAAGCGAGCTGGCTGAAACTTCAAGCGTTAGTCTCTTGCCCCAACTACTCATCTATTTGCAGAGCCCCAGTGCTTCTAGTTACCACTATTGTTGGTAACCATGGATCCTTATCTCTAGGCTTTCCATCATGAGTTCCCCTGGTTGCCTGCTATAGCGGTAACTGGAAGCACTGGGTAGAGAAAACATACCATGAGACATTATTTGCCCCAACTAATAATAGCTAATTTGTTAGCGCAGCATGAGACACTCAACTTGACATTGCGGTAACTAAAAGGTTTGGTCGACTACTCGATGGGTATGTCTCAGAATTTAGGGATTCCTCCAGGTTCTTTCTTGGTGATTTCCTCTCAGGCCATCCATGGCCATGCAAAACTGGTAACCTTCAAAAAGACAAATCCGTAGCCTGCAACATCAATCTATTTTCAATAAGTCCCTTGATCAATTCCATGCATTGCCGGGGCTGCAGAGTTTCAACTCCTACAACCCCATTGTTCGAAACCAATCCACGCCTGCCGCAGCATCTTTGGGCGCCAAACGGTGTGCGGGTTCGCCTTCGCCGTCCTAAGGGCGCTGCCAGAACGCCTTTCAGAGGCTCTTTTTCAAAAGACTGAACTTGACCCAGTGGATGCATTTACCTCCCTATAAGGGCCACTGGGATCCACTGGGTGGTATGTCCCTCTCGATTTTGCCCGAAAAGTGCCGAGTCATTGGGGAAGGTGAGTTGTCTTCGAAGCTGAGGAGAGCAAGACCTGAAGCATGGGAGAAACCCACCACTTCGTCACATCCTTGTCAGGACCTTGGGCCACATGGCGTTCAGACGTCTCCGGCGCGGCCATCTGCGAAGCTCCCAGCTTCGACGCTGCCGCCTCAGGCGCATCCATTGAGCCCTGACTCTGTGCGGCCTCTTCTGCCATGCTAGCCTTCTCCTCTGGCTCTCCTGCAAGCGTGGTAGCCTTCACTGGCGAAGCCTCCCCTGCAGCCGTGGTAGCCTCCGGCGCAGCGTCTCCTGCAGCCGTGGTAGCCTCTGGCGCAGCCTCTCCTGCAGCCGCAGCAGCCTTTTTTGGAGAAGCCTCTCCCGCAGCCGTGGTAGCCTTCTCTGGCGAAGCCTCTCCTGCAGCCATGGTAACCTCTGGCGAAGTTTCTCCTGCAGCCGTGGTAGCCTCTGGCGCAGCGTCTCCTGCAGCCGTGGTAGCCTCTGGCGCAGCCTCTCCTGCAGCCGCAGCAGCCTTCTCTGGAGAAGCCTCTCCCGCAGCCGTGGTAGCCTTCTCTGGCGAAGCCTCTCCTGCAGCCATGGTAACCTCTGGCGAAGTTTCTCCTGCAGCCGTGGTAGCCTCTGGCGCAGCGTCTCCTGCAGCCGCAGCAGCCTTCTCTGGAGAAGCCTCTCCCGCAGCCGTGGTAGCCTTCTCTGGCGAAGCCTCTCCTGCAGCCATGGTAACCTCTGGCGAAGTTTCTCCTGCAGCCGTGGTAGCCTCTGGCGCAGTGTCTCCTGCAGCCGTGGTAGCCTCTGGCGCAGCGTCTCCTGCAGCCTCAACGTTTTCTGACAGCATCGCCCTCTCTGCAGACACGGCCGCTGGTGGAGCCTCCGCCTGTGCTGAGATGCGCTCAGGCGCAAAAGTGCACCAAATCAATACGAATCAGTCCCCCCCAAACAAAGAACAACGCTGAAGTCGGCCCAGCCAAAAGGGCTACAAAGCTAAAACACGGAGAGCTCAAGGCTAACATTCCTAGCTTTCGTTTTTAAAAAAGACACCCACCATGTTGAGTTTTCCCCTATTTTCAACCAGGTGATACAGGTGCAGCTGCTGAGGAGTCTTGAGCTCGCTTCCTGAGTTGAGGTTGTTGAGGTTCAAAAAAAGTCCAAGTGCCTTGCTTACCACCAACAAGTTTAAAGTCCAAGTGAGTGGTCAGCCTGGTGTCCTTAAAAGCAAAGCCGCCCATCGCTCGCCTCGGAAGTGGCACTCTCCGAACTGGTCGAAGCACAGGTTTTGCCTGGCTCCGAGTCGATTTAGGCAGGCCAGCGGAGAGATATCCCGTGGTAGACGTTCACTTGCATGAAAATTCATGCCCATCACATAATTGTTGAGTGAGACGGCGGGGGGAGGGGGGCAAGAAGTGTGACTTACTCTGCGGTGAGGAAATCAAATGTTTCGGCTTATGGACGTAGGCGAGCGTTGCCCGCACTGCGGCCAAAAGGGCGGAAGGGCAACCTCCAAATGATGTCGAAATCATGTCCAAAGCATGCCGTGCCCCTTGGCTGCTTCAACCCTCGGCTTTCTTCAAATAAATACGCCAGATCTCTCATAAAATTGGATCCCTTGGCTTGCGACAATCGCGCAAACCGGCTTGCTGCGCTGGGTTCCCCAATCCGAGCTTTCAGATTTCAGCGCCCGGCCTATCCTGCGGAGCACCAGCACAGTGCCACCTGCAAGGCACTCGCACAAATGCAATGCCCCACTGCGCAAACCTGCCACCTTTCGTACTGGCTTACTACTCTCTCTGCACTATCGGCAAGCCATCCAGTGGGGTACCAAGAGCCCATTTCGCTCATTGATTGTTTATATTGTTTCATTTGACCTAAAACAAACCATCGATCTATTGAATCCATGCGGTTCTTTCTGTTCTTCGGCACGTCAAACATAAAAGCGGGGGGAACCAAAAAAAAGAAGCATCTGGTCGGGTCCAGTACCGCCTTGCGATGCGTTCCAGGAAACCTCCTCGGCTGACGGGATTTTAAGCTGAGCTGATAGAGAGGATCTATCCCATGGACACCCCTCTGTAGGAAGCAACGGGAGACATTGCTTCAAGAGATCTTCGAGAGAACTTCTCTTTCCTTACCCCTTAAAACTCCAAGCCCTGGGGAAGTTAATCTTTTACAGACATATAGCCCATGTTACCCAAAAAGTTTAAAAGTTGTGTTTTTAAGAGGTAAGTTTCATGGGAAACGCGAACGCCCACGGCAAGCTGGGCGTTTCCTCGTTCCAAGGCCCCGGAAGCCCCAAGTTCGGGGTGGGACCCGTTGGTTTTCTGGGCCTCTGGGATAAGCATGGACCAAAGTATATCACAGCCTCCCCCGCCCCCCCTCCCCAACTTTTGAGTGGGTCCCCCCAACAGCCCGGTTCCCCCTAATATCCCCCCCCCCGCCCAAACTCTTGCTGCGTTCCCCACCCCCCCCCCACACCAACCCCCCACACCCTCCCCCATCCCCCCCACACACACACACCCCACCACGTTCAGTGGGCCCCAAGCACACCCACACCTCGCACAAACGGGGCCTCTTCGGCTGGAGAGCTGCAGCTCGGGCCAACGGCCCTGCTCCACCTCCGTTTGATTCAGGCAGTGGGTAGTATGCTCCAGTCTTGCCACTTGTACTCGGTTGCGAAATCTGCTCCCCTGCTAAAAGTGGCTAACTTGTAGTGGCTTAGTGGAAAACCCATTAGTTGGCAAAAAGTTGAAGTCCTAACAGCCAAGCAAAATGCACCAAAGTTTAGCCTTCCCTGTGGATCCCATGTTCATTGGACACCTCAATTTTGCCTGTTTGCTCGTTGGTGCGAGGGCAACTCCAGAAACCTGACGTCGATACAACCAGTTGGGCACTCATCTCACAGCCGCCGCCTTGCGGCGCACGCGCAAAGCCTATCACGGAGCGCTGGATCAGGCTTCGACGAGCGCTCAGATCTTTGGGACCTGTTTGGACCGTGGTTTTTGGGAGCCAAAGCGCCTGGCAACGAACTCAACCAGGTGCATCAATCCAAGTGAGCAGCCTTCCTCTTAGGCTCCTTTTTTTCAGGAATCCTACGTAAGGATACGTAAAAAGATTCATCCTGGCAGAGCTCGGTTTACTCCCTGAAGAGAATCCAGCTCATTTCAACAGTAGTTTGTGGAATGGTCATCGCTACTCACAAAGCACCCTACGTTCAAGCACGCACGGTGAGTCGCTGTCTTTAGAGGTGCGCCTTGTTTCGCTCAGGGAAACCAAAAGCCGCCTTTTTTTTTGGACGGGGGGGTCCAAAGAGTAGAGCAACACGGCATGGGCCTCCGGGATCACAGCAACCCGCACCTTCTTGCCCCCCAAGCCCCGAAACCGTTCCCCACGCCTCATCCGCCTCAAGCAGCTCTGAGCTTGCCACAGCCCGCGCGAGCTCCGACAAGCTGGTGCCTGCGGAGGTTCCGAGAGATGGGCTCTCCCAACCATCGAAGCTGCCACCACTACCCTCCCTCCCACTAAGAAGGCACCTGACAGGGGGTCAGTTCAAATGAGAATTGATCTTCCAGGTACCTCCCCACAAGTGCCATGTTAGTGGGAAGAAGGGTACCCAAAATGGCCTCTTGGACAGGAGCAAAGACAACCTGCCTGCTTCTTGCGCTAGCACTTTCATTTTGGGGCTTCCCCATTGGCAATTTAGGGGGGCGGGGTCATGAGACAAACCCCAGTGAGAAACTCTTAAGGCAACCCCTAAATTGGGGGTCTATCACTCCTTCCATTCAGAAAATTGCCCCTAGCCAGGGAAAACGAGAGGTTTCTCTTCAGAAAAGTGATGTATCAGAATGCGGAATCAACCTTGCCAAATCTTTTGGCTCGCTCAAAATGGGAGGGATTCCCGACTCTGCGAACCTGCACGTGGGATACATCAAAAGTACACACCATGGGCATGAGGATTCAGAACTGGTATTGAATCCACACAAACCCCGCTTTGGTGGGGGCAACTTTGGCATACCTCCAAGAGTCAATCTACTGGTTGCAGTTTTGAACATACATTTTGTCCAATAAGGTACCCTAAATAGGATGGTGTCCTGTCGGAACCAGGTTTGACTTTGCGCAAGCCGCACAAAACGAAAAGGCACTGATTAATTGGGGTGTCTCGCACTTTTGGACCAGAAGTAATGCGATGTCGGGGGCCAAGGCTCTTTGTCACATACATGTTGAATGTAGGCGCAGGCAAGCAGGAAGCCGGAACACACACACACACACACGTGTATATATATATATATGTATATACAAATGTATCTATTTATGCCCAGGTAAACGGCTGAAGTGGCTGCATTCCTCTTTTTGTTTCAGCCGGACAAGCTATTCTTGTGGCACCCACGGTAAGCTGCAAACAAGTGGCATGGCTAAAGTCTTCCTGGAGGGACCTCCTGTCAAGGTGCCATGCTAGTGGGAGAGAGGGTAACAGGTTTCTGAGATCTTGCTTGCTGCCATGCTCAGTCGGGTCTGTCTCAAAATAGGGAGCATTTGGATGGTGGCTAAAAGGAAGGCGAAAAGGAAACCAACGAGGTCCTCCAGTAGAGAGGCTAGAATAAGGCGACCCTTTTTTCTTCTACTTTAGTAGGGCAACCCTCCACCAAAAGGGTAAAAGGGCACCACTGGGGACCCTTGCCAAGCAGCTTTGGGTTTTGGGTCCCGCGAATTTTGGGACACGCCCAGCTGCCGGGAAAGGCCGGAGGCTCAAATGGCCAGTGGCCCTGCCTGCGGCCTGGAGCTTGGGGCACTGAAGAAGCCAGGCGGCCTGACCGCACGGAGACTGCACAAAGGTTGGGCAGTGTGGGGCATGTAGCAAGGCAAAGGTCCATTTTTTTCTGTAGTCTATTTTAGTAGGGGACCCCTCCCCCAAAAAAGGGCAAAAGGGCATTACTTGGGGACCTAGTGTTGGTCCAAGGGTAGGTTGAGACTATTAGCTGCTAACGCCGCATGTGGGGAGAACTGGCAAGGGGGTGTCTCGTTTCTCGGAAACCCACAAAGATGGTGGTTTCCTTTTCGCTTTCCTTTCGTTATATACCACAAAAAGGTTCCCCTCAAAACAAGACGTTCAGGCCTCCAGCCAACCATCCTGGGCAGCCTCGCGCAGCGCCACGTCTTTCGCGAGGTTCCGCTGCGAGAAGTAGAACCTCGATTGCGTGCAAGTGGGCTCTTGCAAGTTGATTGAACGTGTTCAGTGGGCTGGGACGCTTGGTTTGCCGCTTGTTCAAGGGGCAGCAACTTGCTTTCCAGGTGAACCCGCAAACTAGCACAACGGGGGTTCCACAAAGGGTTACGAAGCGCAGCGCAGGAAGCGTGACCAGCTCCTCGATACGAGTTGCACCTTTGACTCGCCCGTGCCGTGACGATGGCCGAGCCAAATTTGAGGCTTTGCTGCGCATCAGGAGTTTGTTCGGCGCCAGGGCCCAGTACGATTTGCTGGGACATGGAGGTCTGCGACTCTTCAACATCAACTGACATTGTGAACCAAAAAGCGACGGTCGAAACTTGTTATCCCCTCACTGCCACTCATTTACCCATCTCGTGGATTTGTAGTGGAAAAAGGTTTCCCCAACTTCAGAAGGACCACTTTGACTCCACATCAAACAGCCACCTGAAGCTCACAAACCGAAACCATGAGGTACATGAAACACCCACTTTGGACCCCAAGATTCGCCTTGGGCCCCAGCTCAAGCTGCCTCTGCAACTTTCCCAGGCGCACGGCCTGGCGCCATGCGAGAAAAAATCACGTGCAAGACCAGCGCCATCTCGGTCCAGCTGAAACTAGCACTTGGTCAAGTCAATTGACATCATGGGAATCTCCATCCGCCCATCTCCCACAGGGGACTTTGATTTTCCAACCACATTACTATTACCAAAAGGCGAAACAAAAGCCGACAAAACAGGCTTCTGGGTGGAGAAACGGGTGCCCTGTCCCAACATCTCAAGTCGATACACTGCTGAGTAATGAAATCGCATCATGATGGGCCCAATGGACAAGTCCGGCACAACTCCATGCACCCTTGTGCTTCCAAAAGGAACATTCTTTGGACAAATTCATTTCTTGGAGGTACGCACCCTCGCTAATGGGCTTAGATGGGTATAATAAAAAGGCGACATGCAATTTCCACAGAAGCGTCTCGCAACCACAGAAGCTGCCCCATCAACTGCCAGTGAGTGGCTTGCAGCGTGCGGATATGTTGCTTCTGGCACCAATAGCAATCCCCCTACAAAAATGCGCCCGGGCGTGAGAATCCTTACCGTATATTCCCTTGTCTACCATTTCAACATGTCCCCCCCCCAAAAAAAAAAGAAGCAAACAAACACAAAACACGGCAACTGCCCTCATTTCGGCATCCATTTCAACACGTCCCGGAGAGAAAACGGAAGCAACACTATACAAAAGAAAGCAGTTGCCCTGTACACAAAAGCAGCCAAATCACGTCAAAGCCCATATCTTTCAACTATGTCCGGCCTCCGGCTCCGGAGCAGACGCAGCTGCATCGCTCATCAGCTGGATGGAAGCGCAAGGGCCAGCTTGGGACGGTTTAATTCTACCTCCATAACTGGGTTGCTACTCTAAGCCCACTTAGCAAAGGGTCGATCTACTTAGTAGATTTGTTTCCAATCGATCTAAGGGGCAAAGGTCACAGCCATGATCAAGACAATAAGTGCACGTTTGATGTGACATGATGTGGCAAACACAGGTGTGCTTTGATTAGTTGGCTTTCAGCCAACTTGTTGCAATGAAGTCCCAATCCAACAAAGGGCAAGGGTGGTACGATTACGCGTACCCCCGTCATCATAACAGGGGAACTGCCAGACTCCAGAGCAACATTGTCTTGGGGGCTTCTGTCAGGTTCAAGTTGGCGTATGTGACGGACGGCACAGAAAATCGAGCTTGAGAAAGAAACGACTGGCTTGGCTTCGGGCACATCAGCCAATGAGCACTAAACGACAGTTGTCAGTCAATGTGGCACCAGTTCATGGTGGCGATGAATCAGCAACTCTGAAAGAGATTGGCTGACTCGAACATGAACATGCTGATGCCTTCATTCAATGCAGCATACCTGATCCGAACTCCAAATATGAGGTAAGTTCAGCAGTAACTGGTCAGCTCAAATATCTCATGTATCCCTGGTCAAGGCAGCGGATGAGGCCATGAGTCTCATGAGATGGCGAATGGCCAATTGCTGGCATCGAGCAATCTTCTAGCAAAACAAGTGACATCCTCGGCAAATCCACGAAACCTATCACTGTGGGTTACAGGGAAATCACCAATTCCAGTTTCTGACCTTGATAACCCCCAGCAAGTGTCAAAACAAGGATCCCAGAATCATGGATCAGCTTTCAAATAAACACAACTTGGCAGCTCCTGCTCCGAGAAAAGGCCTGGTCTAAGCATGTGCCGTGCGGGGAAGCTTTCGTGTCCATTCCAGGGATCCGAATCTTTGCAAACCTTCCACCCAGAGGAAAAAACGATAGTTGACAAGAATGGGGAATCAAACCCATTCGAGTGTAGCCTCTGATCGAAGAGCGGCACGCCGTTTTAAAGACCCAATGAAACCCAGCGGACTCCGGCGAAAAGATGGAATGCTTGCCCGAGGCAAGAATCCAGTGCGCCGAAGCGTGCCATGGCGGATGGGCAAAATACGTAGAAACGGGGCCCCTCAAAAGATACACCGAAAAAAACGACTGGACTGGTACATGTACGCAAACACCTGGCAGCAATTTGTAAGTTGGCCCAAATGCATCCTTAAATGCACCCTGAAGGAACAGCATGGTTCGAAGGAACGAAACACCATGTTTCTTCCTGGAAGGGCCTGATCTCAACTATCCAATGTTAGTGAGTTGCTTCCATGTGCTTGCCCTTTAACACCAAAAAGGCAAACTATGAACCACGAATTCCTTTCTGCAAATAGAAACAACTGGCAATCAGATGGCAAATTAAATGGATGCAACAGGACACCTGCCCGGGCAGATCGGGAAACTAGGAAAAAACCAGTGGAATCTGCACATCCCAAGTCGTGTTTGGTTTTGGTGATGTAAACAAAAGCGAACAAAATAATCAAAACCAAACTGCCCATCATCAGTTGATTGATTTACACAACGGCCACCTTCAAGTACTTGGCTCATCCGTACAGTCCATTTCAGGAAGCTATAACCCCTAGTGATTTCAACCAGCTTGCTACAGGTTGCAACCTGCTTTACGCCATGGCAATGCATGGCACGGCCATGCACCTCACATCTGAATTCTGTGCACAGGGTTGCCTGAAAATAAAGGCAACACATCGCCTCTAAACGGCAACCTTGGACGAGTGGAGACGACAGCTCCGGTGCAAGTCTGCGTCAACATCTCTCCGAGGCCTGAACCTCCGTCTTGCCTCATTGTTGCAAATGCCGGCACTGGCAGGGCAAGCGGTCACCGTGCGTCAAGGGCTAGGGGGCTTTTACGTCAAGTTGACGTGTCGTTTTCGTGCTTGAATTATACAAAAAGGGGCCCCTCATGCTGTCATCTTCCACTTGCTTGACCTACAGCAGAATAATTATGCACTCACGGCGCCTGGCAATGCAATGCCATCGGCGCGGACAGGATCGCCCTCGAACTTTGTTTGGGGATGTCTTGGAGGAAAAGGCTACCCGCACGTTCGATGAAAGCTCCCAAAAAGCCACAATGGAGTGTTTTGGGGGCTTCCATGTTTTGAGGGTCGCGCAAATTCCATGACATGGAGGAATCCTCAAACTGTTGATCCGCCATTTAGACATCTTCAAATGGTGGTCGAACGGAACGCCCCACCAAAAGCAGCGATGAACGCACAAAGGTCACTTTAAGGGACCCAAATACCTGCCATAGAAAAGGACGTCGCTTGGCAAAGCATAAAACACGTGGGCGACACCCGGTGCTGAAATATCAGATTAGCTTGATACATCTCTATAGGACCCAAACACGTGTCACAGCTGGAGATGTATCTGCAATATTGGCAGCAGCCCGCATTGAAAAAAGAAATCAAAACCACGCAAAGGCCAAAGGAAGCTTGGATGGCTCCATTCTCAAGGGTGCAAACCAGGAATATCAGCCTCATGACCCAAGCTCTTGGCGGAAACTCCGGACCCAGTCAAATTGACAATCCTGAGGAGCATGAATCGAACCCCAGCCGGCCAGCGACAAACGGGCAGCCAAGGAATGTCTCATGCATTGCTTCCCAAGCAAAGCCGCAAGCACGACTTTGGTAAAGGCGACCTTGCCCAGCACCCGCCCGCCCTGGGTCAGCCCCCAGCTTTTGGCCTGCCAGGCCCTACAATGACAGCATGGTCGCCTCAGCCGTCCGTCGGACGCCCAGCAGCTGCATCCCCGCTCCAACATATTGAGGTGCAGTGCATGGTCCATGCGCAACACGCCGGTGTCCAGCGAACGTGTGTTCGCGGCACGCGACATCTACTTCCATGTGCTAAAACAAACAACCCATTTCCAGTCGATCAACATCGTTGCTGTACTTGTAGCCTTTCGGGGCTCAGATCCACTCTTGCCATCTCGACGTGGCGCGTCAGTGCCCCTTGCAAAGCAGCCCTCAAACCAGATCTGATGATGGATATCTTTTACCGGGCCTACTGGTCTAATGATCCTGGCTGTCCAACCTATACCAACCCTGGGAGGTTCTGGACGAAACGGGTGTCAAAATCTGGTCCGCGCAAGCTCCACAAAACCCTCGCCCAAAATGCAGAAACTCACTCTCCAACACCCAAAACCCCAAAAGAAGAAATATTCCCCCCTTTTGGGAATTAAAAACAGAGTGGGGCGAACAAGGGATCCTTACATTATGACACCTGAACATTGCAACTTGTAAATGGTGGTCTCCAACTTTATTCTGGTGAAAAACAAAAGCACCATGTTTCAAGTGGTTGCGAAATGGGGATGGGTCAAAACTTAAAAAAAAAAAAGGAAATGAAAAAGCCGCGGGTTTTTTCAGCCCTTGGTTCTTTCAAGGAGCCCAAAGCGGAACCCGCCCAAAGCTTCGGAAGGCATCGGCGTGGGCATCGGCGCCTTCCCGGAGGCGTTCCGGTGTCTCAGGCCCATGGCCTGGGAGCGAAAAAATCAGAAAATCCGAAAAACAAATCCGAGAAACAAAAAAGGGGGGGGGGAAAATAAAAACCGGAAAAACCACAAAATCCTCTTGGCTCATGGTCCATTTGCTGAAAATGTCCAATTAACAACCACTGAAGTGTCCATATGTCCAGTGATGGTGTCCCATTAAAAACCACTGGCAAAATTGCTGAAGTCCCTGGAGAAAAAAAAACACGAACATATGTCCAGTGATAGTTTCCCAATAAAAAATCATTGATGGAAATTAAAAAATAGTCTTAAGCAAATGGAAGTCATGTGTGCTTGTCTGCTTGTTTCTGTTTTTTGTTCTTGTTTTGTTTGCTTGCCTGTTTTGTTTCTTCTGACTTGTGTTGCTTGATTGCTTGATTGCTTGATTGCTTGATTGCTTGATTGCTTGCTTGATTGATTGATTGATTGATTGCTTGATTGCTTTGTTTGGATTGCATTGTTTTGTTCGGGGGGGGGTCGGAACAGCCACACTGTTTGAAAATCCCGAGATGGGATCGCAACAGGATCATGTTGTGTGGTCTTCTTTGGGGAGTGGGGTCCCTTACAACCATTTTGTATTGGCTAAAGAGTCTACAGAGTACCGTTTTATATGGGCTAAAGAGTCTACAAGGTGAGAGTTGAGAAAGGGTACGGTAGGATCCCCGCAACACGAGCATTGCTGGCAAGCCTCATTCCGTATTTGGGAATCGTGGGGGAAATCAACATGGCCATGGTTCAAAACCAATGGCACAATTTTGGAATAGCTGCACCACCCATTTTAGTCTATTTTAGTGGGGAGTGGGATGTTCACTGGGGGTACGGGGTTTTGACCCATGGCCACATTGCCCTGTTGAGGCATAGCAATCAGTATACACGAACGCACCAGGCCTTTCGTTACTTGCGTCAACACATCCAGTCACATCCAGGCACGGGATTCTGACATGCCACTCGTCGAATGGCCTAGAACGCTTCAAAGGGTTTGTCATATACTATACTGGCAAGCTTAAACCTAGTTCCGGAACATGGAACAGCGGATTTGACTAAGCTAGAGGGCTAATTAGCAAAAGAAAAGACAGAGAGAGAGGCAAAGGAACAACAAACACCTCTACTCCCCAGCACCCAGATCCTAACAACTGCTGTTTCTCATGTCAAAAAGCCCAAGTGTCCAAAAACAGTAGTTGCAGGGTGGCGGAACCCCTCCCGGTGTTGCAACCATACAGCCGTCGCCTCCCAAGGCAGGCCAAAGCCCATGCCACGTGCACTCCCACGGAGCTGGAAGAGCGCAACCAAGTAACGCCGCCGTGGTTTGGTGGTGCCATAGGCAGGGAATGAGAAATGGAATGATTTCCTGGCTTCCTTTAAGGGAGTCCTTGAACTTCATTCCCAAGGGAAGATCATTCCCTACCTATCGCAC